GTGAAAATTACCTTGGGTAACTACAATGGTCTGTGTATGTCACCAGATACCCTACTGTAATTCACTGGATTTTGTTTCAAACCATTTCATCAAGAACATTTATTTAGAGTTCTGTTTCACTGAAAAACAGCTATTTACCCTGAAAACACCTTTGGTCTGGGGATATGATGCAAAATCTTCACATTCTGGACATGAATCTTGTTGTCATTAGATGAATGTGAAATATTTTAATCAAAAGATAGAATTGATATCTGCTCTGTATGAAGAATAAGGTGAATTACATTTCCTAACTATAGGTTTTTGAGGACAGGTGTATTAATTGCTTTTGAAGTGTGGGCAGAAATGTGAGGTTCAGTCTCTGCTGTAATGATAATCCTTTCTTTAGGCCACAAGAAGATTATTGCTTCAGTTTTCCCCTTTTTGTAGAAATAATAGCTTTTTACTGACATCTGGAAATGATTAGTTTTACCACACAAAACATAAAAAATTATGGAGAAATAGAGCTGTAGTTCTGGGTTTTGTTTTGTTGTTGTTTTTTGCCCTTGATCTCTGTGGTCTATGATTGGCTTCTTGAATAAAATGCACTTTTTTTGTCATGTAAGATAAAGTTCCATTCTTTTCTGTACTTTTTCAGTTGAGCAGGTAGTGGTGACATTGCATCTTGTTGGTGACAGAGAACCAGCAGAAGTGGTAGGAGATTTGTCTGTCTGTCTAAATGGGATGCAGGTCGATCCTGAGCTCCTGACGAATGGTGATGCCTCAAGTACAAGAAGTAAGTAACTTTAATTTCACATGTGCCCTCTACATATATCTGGTATACAAAGCTTTTTTTTCTGGAAACTTTAAGACAATGTTTTAATAATCATAACAACAGTGGTTTCTATAACTTTCTGTTTGCAGAGACCAGAACTCTTATGCATTTTTATTTGAGGTGAAGTTATAGTCAGATACAGGCAGTTTTCAGCCTTACTGTAATGAAGATCAGCACCTTTATTTTCTGAATTTTGCTAACTTATATCTAGCAATCCTAAACTTTAATGAAAGCCTGTAGCTTCCCTGAATGCTTAATAACATCACAGACAGAAAAGAACAGAAAATAAGTTAGTTTGATACAGTAATAATAATAATTCTGCTTACTAGGAAACATCTGCTTATATTAATTTTTCTTAAAATACCTCATTTAAATAAATGTTTTCATAGATTTTGTTCCCCATGGAGTGCTGCAGAGAGGGATCCATTATCCTGTTTAGTTGGTGCCTTCAGTTTCAGATAGCTAGTATGATTTTTAACTGAAAATCTTGAATACATGTAAAATGTGTAATTACACTAAAATAAAAAATAAGGAGGTTTAATTCCATTGGTGCAGAACAGGCAACGGAGCACTTTTGAAGGTAATGTACATTGTAAAGTAGAAATAGGTTAAGAAGTTACTTCTCCAGAAGGCAGTATTGGAGAGACTGTCTGCTGTAGCAAGTAAGCTAGGCACTTAATTGGCAATTTTTAGGCTTCTGGGCTTTTTTTTCAAGGACTAGAGGGAGTTGCTTTGTGAAATTGAATGAACACACTAGCTTTGTATCCATTATTTCTTAAAGCTTTTAGTCCACCTTTCTTTGCATCTTGTTAAAAGGATCAATCACATGATCTGATAGTGTGGGATTTTTTTTTTTTTTGTAAATAAAAGCCAAATGCTGGGATTGTGTGGGGCTTGTAGAACAGGGCTGGGGTATGTTGATAGAAATACCTAGTGAAAGTAACAAATTTTCCTCTTATGCAATATTTGGTTTTCATTTGTGCTTTCTTCCATTTCCTGAAATTCACCTGCTGAGAAAAAGGCATGCAGGTACTGGAACTGAGTGCTATAGACAGCTTTGGGCTCGACAGGAAAGGCAGGTGTTGATATTCCAAGGCAGAAGTTCAGCAGAGGGTTCACAGATAATCAGGGGACCGAAGCACATGAGGAAAGAGTTACATCTTAAAAGTAGTCTAACACAGTCTTATTGTACTGGCTAAAGGTACTTGCAAGCAAATACATTGTTTATTGAGTAGCTTTTAAAGTTTTCAGTTTCCAGGATTAAAATCACTTCTGCGCGCAGCCCACTAGCAGCACATTATCATAAGCCTTTACATGACTACATCCTTGTCTTCCGCTTAAATCTGTACATAGTTCCCATCAGAATTGATATCTGATTTCTTTGTTAATGACATTTGTTTAATTCTATGGATATAAAGTATTTGTGCTGTCTATATGAATGAGTTCTGTGCTGCATATTCAAGTATTGCAAGTGCTGGCACAAAAGGCAAATATTTCCAGGCTGGCTGAATAAGCAGTTGTCAAATGTTTGCGAATCTAGACTGAGCTGCTATAATTCTATTTGGAGTGCAGCCATATTTTGTACCTGCTTGAATGCCTTTATGCTAAATAATCTTCAGAGAAAGGGAAGGGTCCAGGCTAGAGAGTCCCAGAAAACAAAGCCCCTGTGGTTGCTTGCTAGTCAACCAGAGAGAAGATTTTAGAGAAGTTGTTGCTCTTCCTGTTTTGCCTGTCATCATTGAAAAGGGAGAGGATATGAAAAGCCAGCTCCACTCAAAGAATGGAGAACACTGCTTGATACTGCTATAAGGACAGGAGGCAATGCTACTGAACTGTGTGTTTGGGGATACTCATACAGTCAAACGATATCCTGTTATATCTTCCGTAAGGTGAAAATAGTACTCACAGTGGCAGTGGTTTAAAAATAACGTTCACACGCACATATACATAGACATGCAAAATGTGTATGTTTTGAAATAAGACAGTACATAAGCAGCACATAATGTATCACCTCCATGTTTACAAGAAGCGTGAGCATTAAAGACTCCTTCTTTTCTTGCAAATGATTCAGAATGTTGCTTATACTTCTATTGTTGTCTTTTTTTCTGGTATTTAAGGTCCTACACAGAATGATAGCTCCAAAGTAAAGAACGATACACGGTAAGACTTTTTTCCTCTTCTTGTACTGCCTTTTTGTGTTTGCAGTTCTGAGAGCGGAATTGTATGTTTTATACAGAAGACAATTGAAAAATTTCTGAGTACGCTCTGCAACAGTATCTGTTAAGATTGGAGCATGTCCTAAACAAAAATACTGTACCATTGTACATTCACATTTTAAATTGTTTTCCATATGAGTCCCATCTTCTAGCTTCCATTTGCCTCCATACCTGACTGATCTTTTGGGTTTTTCCCTTTGTGTTCCTCATCCTTCTCCCGGTGATTAACAAAAGTAAATTAAATATAAAAAAAAAAATCTCACTGGTGAGTAAATGGCACTAGTTATTTTGACACTATTTTGCTTTATAGCATGGAGGTATCAGAATTATATTTAGCTTTGTTAAGAAGATACGAAAAACTGTCTAGCAGTTGCAATGTTTTAAGGTCGATACCGGATTATGTAACCTGTTTCCTGGTAGGATAAAAGTGTGACCGTACTTGATGGTGATTAACATGCAGTGAGCACCATGCCACTTTAATTAGTTACCAGTACTACAAGTATTTTAAGTATCTCTACAATGCACAATGCTTTTGGATGACATCTGGAGTAGCTAAGTTAAATTTCACTATTTTTTTTTAATAATTGTAACTCTTTTAGCTATGTCATCTAGAGTCTTCCCATGAAAGTTTATTTTTGTTGTTTCCTTTTCATGCTCAGAAGAATATTTCCATGCTTGGGTATTCAGAATGCCTGAGTGTGTAATAGTATAATAATAATAGCTGAGTTGGTTTTAGTATCAACAGTGGGGTTTTTGGTGTTCATTAAAGGTCCATTTTGAGGATCATGTAAATGATCTGGAATATGTCTTGTAGTGGTTATTGTTACATGTGTAGTAATGTTTTCATACACAACTGGTCAAATACACTAAAGATAAAAGGTTACCCTTTTGACTTTAGTGTTCGAACAGCAGCAGTATGCTTTCTGGGACTGAGGAAAACCTAGGGTATCTCTCTTGTGAACTTCGTATCACTACATGCTAAACTTCAGATTTTTACATGCTTTCATAGCTATTTACTTTGAAATTGGTGTGGTATGGTATGAATTGTGTACCACACCTGGTATAGAGCAGAAGCGTGTTTGACAGTGATATCGAGGTCAAATGTACACAATTCTACCTGGTCCTCTATGACTTGTGATTTACTTAGGCTTACCTACTGTTTTATATTTTGTGTACATTTAAAGCAATGTAATTTTAGAGGTACTGGGCTGAAACTGTAAGCTATGGTTTTATTACTGATGGCTTATGTACTTGACCTGCCAATCCACTAGAATTTTAGTTGACAATCTTTTTATTTTGCTCAACATATTCTGAAAACAAAATGCTTTAGAAGTAATGCTTTACCTGTAACTCTGCTTAAGGAGCTACAAATATATCAGAATAATACACTGCTAAGTATAACTGAATAGTACAGAGTGGGTGAGTATTGCTATTTAGTTTCTTAATTCTTGTAAAGTTGAGAAGCTTATATTCAGAGCTGTTGGTCAAAATTTTAATGCTTAGTCCTAAATTTTCTAGCCCTTTCCAGAATTGAGTTTAGAGGCAAAATTGGTGTATGCATAAATAAGCCTTCTAAAAATTTGAAACATTTTGTGTGTTAGGAGCATATGCTAGCCCTGTGGAGCAAATGCATTCAGACTGTTCTCAGGTCTCAGCTTTCCATCTCGTTAGAGACAAGTAGAATTCATGGGCAGAAATAGCTGAGCAGCAAAATCCGGAGCTTGGGCCTAAAGGCAGGTATATCAGGTTGGGAAATGAAAGAGGAGATTTCAGTGACAGATACATCTATTTCACAACCTTTTCATCAGTTGAGGTTTCATGTACCTCAGGAGATAAACTCTTACTATGTTTATATAGATGTATAGGTTTTTGTAATTATTATGAATGTAAGAATCTCACCTAGTCATAACTATTACATTCTAGTGTCTTCCATTGTTTAATGTCATCAATACACTGTTAGAAAAGTTCTCCTTTCTGTTTGTTCCTGCAAAAGGACTAACTCAAATGGCCTTGAAAGCTGTGAAGATGGTGCTCCCAATGAAAACAAGACTGTTAATGGCAGTGATTCTCCATTACTCACAAATGGAAACTGCAAACCGTCTAGACCTCCCAGGCCTTCTAGACCACCTCCACCCACTCCCCGCAGACCCACTTCAGTAGCTGGTATGTATTCTAGGGCCAGGCACTCATTTCAAAGCTGCACCCTCTTTGAATGAACATTTTTAACTACATTTTTTCATAGTAAAGTCTTGGACATATAACTTCTGAAGGACTATTTTTTTAGCTTGCATTCAATACATGACATTTAATCATTGTTCCTATCATTAGAAATTTCTTGCTTCCATGTCTGCTAAGCAATGATTGCAGTGATACGGCTACATGTAGTGGAGCTGGGACCAAAAGAACACAACTGAATGCTATTATCGCACTAAGACATCTGCTGAGTGTGAGGCTTGAGATGAAGTCTACTGAAGGACTCACAGAACTGTCTCAATTTTTTCATGGTAAAGTCTTGGACATATAACTTCCGAAGGACTATTTTTTAGCTTGCATTCAATACATGACATTTAATCATTGTTCCTATCATTAGAAATTTCTTGCTTCCATGTCTGCTAAGCAATGATTGCAGTGATATGGCTACATGTAGTGGAGCTGGGACCAAAAGAACACAACTGAATGCTATTATCGCACTAAGACATCTGCTGAGTGTGAGGCTTGAGATGAAGTCTACTGAAGGACTCACAGAACTGTCTCAAGTTGATAATATTGCGTTCTGAAATACTAGTTAGTTGTTTCTGCAATTCTAGTTAAATTCTGTGCAATAGCAACATTTAAAACATTTGTTACTCTTTTGCACTGAAAGAATAGATTTTTTTTTTTATTTGATTATTTAGAAACTACAAAACTTTAAGACAAGTAGTTCTGAAAAGTTAGTTGATGTTTTTAGGGTAACTCCTTCACCCTCATACGCTGCTATCTGTTTCAGTAGTCTCATTATTACAATTGATAAATGTGGAGACTGGATGGGAAACTGCCATACAGCAATTACTTTAAAAGATTAATCCAATGTAGTTCAGTAATAAGTCCTGACATGTGTACAACTTTTAATCCCACCCACCAAATGGCATTCAGAAAAAACTGAAAAAAATTAAAGAATGTATCTATTCCCCTCCTATTCTGATAATTTCTTTTCGTGCAATCTCAGATCTCTTCCTGAAAATTTTATGCTTATTATCTCTTAAATTATCATTCCAAATAATAACTGGAAAATAATTAATGCAAGAATGCAATCAGTGCAAGAAAGCAGTTTTTTTGTTTATAACATTTAGTGTTTACAGAATGTAGACAATTTGTTTTGGTAAACGTGATTTATTATATCAGAAATATCAAAATTGTGCTTTGATGGCAGTTCTTGGATTAAAGCATTTTTACAAAGTGAGATAAAATTGCTTTTTAGTTTTTGTGTAAGCTGTAAAATGTGGCCGTGTGCCTGCACTTTGAAATACCAGTTCTTGCATGTTTACTTTTGTGATTTACAACTTCTAAAATAGATTGGCGATAAATACCAGTTAAAAGGCTTTTTTTCCTCTGCCTTTGATATCTCTGACATCATAGCAAGTGTAAATGGTCCTTCATCCACATCCACAGAAGATGATGGGGCCAGTGCAGGATCACTGGCAGGTACAGCTGCAAATACATCTTCAGAACAGAGCCCTGAGGGGGCAACAGCTGCAACGACAGCTCCTGCAACTGCTGCGCTCACCACACCTCCGGTATCAAAACAAGTCCAGCCAGTAAATCCTCCACCTCAGGCACTTACTACAGTCAGTCAAGGTCCTCTTCCACCTGGGTACGAGTGTAATGATTTTTTTGTGTGCTGACATTTCTGATTTTACTTTATTTTACTTAAAGTAGGTGTAACATTTGTAACGTCTGCCTTTTGCTGCATAACAAAAATCCCCCCGGTATTCATTTGGGGGTTTTCAGAACTGTTTTGTCTGGTAGGCCTTCAAGCATGGTTTATTCAAGAAAATAATTAATCTTTCAGGTATTTTTGATACCTGTCATATGTTCCCATGTCAGTGAAACATAGAAATTTTAAATAGTGTGACAGCTTGCTGTCTTCAAATTACAGTGAAGTCAGGTAGTAAAATATTGGTATAGATAAGTAGAAGAAAAGCTGCTATTGCAGTACATAATCTGCAGCTCCTGGGAGTGGCACGGGCACACTGTTGTATTTCAGGCACATGTGGAACTTGCCAGATGGCTGGTCTATTGGCTCAAAGCTCTCATTTACATTCTAAAGTTAAAAAAAAAAAAAAAAAGTTTCTGGACTCTGAGTGAGGGAAAGCAAAAGCTTCCTAATGCAAATGGTGTAATTGGTGAATTATCTATCTGCCTTAATTTGAAGGCAGTTGAACCAAAAGGTAGGAGAGGTCTGAATTACCTGGCTTACTCACAGGATAACTGCGAAAAATTGGTTGTTGCTTTACCATTTTGATTTCAACAGAAATGGCAAATTAGCATGCTTTTTCCTCTGCAGTGTTACATTTGATGCAAATACAGGGGTGAGTCAGTATCCCAAACGCTGCATATGCAGAAAATGTGACCAGTGTCCTTATGATGAACTCTACATATAACTGATCTGTGCAAAATTTACATATTTTGAGGATTTGAATTAATGTTACTCTAAAAGGAGATTATGCTCTACAGACAATTTTGTTCAACAGGTTACTGATACACTTGATATTGAATACAAAACTTTGCTTCAATGTTTGCTGAAAATGTATGCATGTATTAAAATTCATGCATGTAGGCATGAATTTTAGCTTCAGTTTCCCAGAAACTGAAGGTGGTCATGTAGAATGCTTTTGGTATTCTAGTTGACATAGAATTACTCTTAATATGAACATTTTACTACTCTATATTGTACAGCGTTTTGGTGCATCTCGTGAACCAAGTGCTAGTTTCGAGCATTTTATTTAGAAATAAGCATTTTATGAAAACAAACATTTCTCATCTTTATGCTGTAGATGAATGATTGGAGTAGTTTGATCTGGAGGAAGATAAAAATATTGTTTTATTTTCAGTTGGGAGCAAAGAGTAGACCAACATGGCCGAGTATACTACGTAGATCATGTTGAAAAAAGAACAACGTGGGATCGGCCAGAGCCTCTTCCTCCAAGGTGAGCCAGGATAGGTCATATGATTGTCTAGGATGTGTCTGGATTTTTCAGAAATTATTTGACTGTCAGTTTACTAAAGCTAGAAAGCATGATTGTAAATAGAAATGTGAACCCAGTACAAACAATTGCTCCAGGTTGTCTCCAAGGAGTTCTGCAGAAATGCGTAGTACATACTATGGAAAAGAGTTGAATGTCAAAAATAACAGAATCTGAATTTCCTGTCAAAGATTAAGCAAGTGCAACTTTACTGAGAAACAGATTTAAGTTAAAGACAGTAGACAGCCCCAACAGTAAAAGAGAACACAAACCACAGAAGAGTATTTTGGGATTGAGGTAACTATTGGTTTGAGCAAGAATGCCCTTGGTTACCACTTTATCCTGAGGTTACTGTTTGCAGTCCTTTGATCTTGTCTCAGGGTTCCCAGCTGCTAATTTACTATCCTCTTATAAAACTGCTTTGGTTATTAGGCTTTTCCAGCTGTTAACATCAAAACAGCCAGTGATGTTAGTCTCTACATGGAAGCAGTGTTCACATTTGTTCTATGTTTCTTATTTTTTTAAAAAATGTAAGAAAAGCATAAGAATATTCTGTTGCACTTCATTCATACTCAAGTGGTTCACACATTGTACAGAATTACTAAGTAAAAACGTGGGATAGTAAAGAGAACCTGATATTGAAGAACAAAAACTGGCAGACAGTCTCATAAAGGGAACTCGCCTGTCACAGAATCATAGAATAGAATCATAGAATTGTTTTGGTTGGAAAAGACCTTTAAGGTCAAGTCCAACTGTTAACCTAGCAGTGCCAAGTCCACCACTTAAACCATGTCCCCAAGCACCACATCTACGCATCTTTTAAATACCTCCTGGGGTGGTGACTCCACCACTTCCCTGGGCAGCCTGTTCCAATGTTTGACAATGCTTTCAGTGAAGAAATTTTTCTTAATATCCAATCTAAACCTCCCCCGGCACAACTTGAGGCCATTTCCTCTTATTCTATCACTTGTTCCTTGGGACAAGAGACCAACCCCCACCTGGCTACAACCTCCTTTGAGGTAGTTGTAGAGAGCCATCAGGTCTCCCCTCAGCCTCCTGTTCTCCAGGCTAAACAACCCCAGTTCCCTCAGCCGCCCCTCACCAGACTTGTGCTCCAGACCCTTCACCACTTCGTTGCCCTTCTCTGGACACGCTCCAGCGCCAAAATGTCCTTCTTGGAGCGAGGGGCCCAAAACTGAACACAGCACTCGAGGTGCGGCCTCACCAGTGCCCAGTACAGGCGGACGGTCACTGCCCTGGTCCTGCTGGCCACACTATGTCTGATACAAGCCAGGATGCCGTTGGCCTTCTTGGCCACCCGGGCACACTGCTGCCCACTATTCAGCTGGCGGTCAACCAATACCCCCTCATCCTTTTCCACCAGGCAGCTCTCCAGCCACTCTTCCCCAAGCCTGTAGCATTGCATAGTCTATTTTTATCTCTTTGAGAGGATTGACTACTGTATTACCTAAACTTACTCAGAATGGTAGTTTTTTCACTCAACTTTTGTAAATAGTGCTGATTTCATATGAACTGAAAATAATAAAAACCAACCCAACCCAAAACCAAATGAAAAACAAAACAAACCCCAATGCCCACACCTTCCTTTTCTGCCAAATTTGAGTGTGAGGAAATCTTGCATTGTACAGCCCCAACTGTGAGGGGTTTTGCTGTTGTCTTAGGAGAAGCCAGCAGACTACTGTCTTATGGGTTGAGCGGGATAAAGGCAGTAATTACAATTGACAGTGGTTTGTATAGCTCTTGAAAACTGTTTCAAAAAATCCTGAAAGTACAGTAAATGGAATGAGCCTGACTTGGTATATTATGCAACAAAGTAAGCATGGTTCTCCTCAAACAATTTTTAGCTCTTATATAGTTTCAGTGCACAGTAAAAGAGAAGAAAATGTCTGCTGATGAGCCCATGCTTCATATCCACTTCCAACACGCTGCCTGTTTGCTTAAAAGTGCTTCTGAGCCCTTGAAATTGTCTGCTATTGAGAACCGTTTCTTGTAATTTTTATAAAAGCTGGGAGCGACGAGTTGACAACATGGGGAGAATTTATTATGTTGACCACTTCACTAGAACAACGACGTGGCAGAGACCAACATTAGAGTCTGTCCGAAATTATGAGCAGTGGCAGCTTCAGCGCAGTCAGCTTCAAGGAGCTATGCAGCAATTTAATCAGAGATTTATATATGGGGTAAGGAATATAACAATAACTATGAAGGTTAAGTAAGAGAAGTATCTTTTTCAGGTTTTCAACCCATTAGGTTGAAACCTAATCTCTTCTACATATTGAAAGTATAAATGTATTTGGGTTTTGGGCATGCTTGTGGGTGACTTTTCCCCATAAAGATACCAGGCTTTGTTATGGTTTATTCTTTATGATAATATAGTATCTTTGTGTGTGTACATGACAGGTAACCTTAGTTCATGTCCTTGCAATGACTACAGGCAGCACATGCAGTGTAATGGTTTTTTTTATTTGTCAGCTGAATATAGGTGGAGTTCTTTGATAAACTTTATGTACAATATTGATAAAAGCCATTGGTTCAAAACAAACCACGGCTTAGTAACAAGCTGGTTTATTTGTATTGTGTCTTGTACTGGCTTGACCAAAGATCTGGAAGGTAAGCAAGCTCACAGGACATATATTTCTGCTTTGGGTAAAATGAAATATACACAATGAATGTTATGAAAGCAAGGAAATAGAAAATAATCCTTCCAGAATTTTAAATCCATTGTCTTCCTCTGATGAACAGTAGACTGTAGCTCAAACTCATCCAGTTTATCAAGGATGGTGTAGGTTCTAAATGTGCTGTATGTGTAGAGAATAAAAATGGACCTCATAAATGATGGTAGGGAGAACAGCACTGAATGCAGGAGTGAAGTGGTTTGCTTTCTGATTGTTTTGGTGCTACTGTACTAATTTTCCTTCTGCGTAGGCAGGGACACTAAACAAAGAATAATTATTTTCTTGGCACTGCAGTTAATTAAGCATGCCAAGGTCTGTAGAATAGGCCGCCTCTGTGGAGAAAAATAAATTGTTGGCATCTTTGCTTATATGTAACATTAACAAAAATGCATTTACTTCAATAATTCATGATGGCTATGGTAGAACATCTGGAAAGCAAATGACTAGTCATTAATGCACCATTTGTTTCGGTGACTTGCAGAACCAGGACTTTTCATCCACACAGAACAAAGAGTTTGATCCTCTTGGCCCTCTGCCACATGGATGGGGTAAGACTGACTCGAAAGTGTTTTGTAATGCAACGTAATTAAAGCGTGCTTCTGCCAAATTATATTGTCAGCTGTTTTTTAAAAAGAAAATCTGGATTAAAAATCTTTTAAAATTAAATCTAATCAAATGTGCTGTTAAAACAGAGTCCTGACAAGGAGGTGCAGTTTCAAAGTATATTAGAAACTATAAAGTATTCTGATTTACTCATTGTAACTATCATAATAGTTTCTTTCACAGTCATCCTCTTTTTTTACCACTTTCATTAGGCAGGATTCCCCTCCATCCCATGGAGGATTCCCATTCCTGCCAAATCAGACTCCAAATCCCCTCTAAATCAGACTGTCAAATTTCCTATCCAAGTCAATTCTCGGAGAGTTTTGTTGGTTTGAAAATGTTTTTTTTTAAAATGAGAACTACCACGTCTTGACTTGCCCCTCTCCCTGGAATAAATTTGGTTTTGTACTTTACAGGGTTAACAATTTACAATTAATATAATTGGGGCGGGTGTGCACAAAAATGTAAGTGTAAAACTAATTTCTGGTGTGACTATCAAGCAGATATAAGAATTCACGTGTCATGATACATAGGCAAAGTTCTCAGAATTGTGTAATTGTAAAGCAAGTAATTACTGGGTAGACCTGTGGTTTTGGCTCGTCTGTTTTTCTAACACAACTATTTGGATTTTTAGTTCTGGTATTGATGCCGTTTCATGTCATAAAATTGTCGTTCCCCACATTTGTTCTTTCTTGCATTACATATATAACATTGCAAAGAAAGTTCCTTAGACTTGCATTGCCCAGACAACAAAACTGAGTTTCCACATCATGCTGAATTCTGCTGTCAGTGTAACTCTCATAGAAAAGTGTCTACTTCCAGACTTCTCTTGTAAACTGAAGCTTTTTACCTGTAGCAGTCAGATTTTGGCCTGTTTTTATAGTTTGTATTATATATTCTGTATTTCTTTTGTCACACTAAATAAAAATTGCATAAAGAGCTGCAGAATGGTACAGAGGACCAAGCTGGGGCATTTATCATAGGCTTTGTTCAGTCCTGGGCATACACTAAACTATGTGAGAGAAAATATAAATGTATTTTCTTAGAAACTGCATTGATCATTTTTTCTTCTCTGCTTATTATTTGAATATGAAGCCCTTGTACTTTCTTGATGCTCGTGTATACATCTGTTACTATTTTGTGTTTGCTGTCTATATTGCTTGTAGGATATGTCACAATAACCAAAGCAGCTGGAATTTCCTGTGGAGAAAATAACTTTTTTTTTCTTTCTGCTGATTAATTTTTTTCCTACAATTGAAAAATAAATAGCATAGTAAAGGATCTTACGACAGAAGTTTGAACTTCATCAATATTTTAATCCATATAAATTTTTAACTTGCAAAAATACTGAAAAACCTTTTTAAAAAATGCATACAGTAGGGTAATAAATCTAGTGAAGGTAAATCTCCTGGGATGAGCTACTTCCTTCGTGCAAATGTTTATATTGTTGATACCCAGAATCTCTCTGGCGGTCAGGATTGTTGGTATAAGCAATGCAGGTAGAGACAGCTGAACTTTTCAGGGTAAGAATTGAGATATAAAGATCTTACCTATGAACACCATTAAGTGGAAACTTTTTCTCTGAGGATAGGTGATGCTGCAGTTTCATATGACTATTAGCAGTCAGTAGTATTAAGACAGGTTCCTGTTTGTGAACAGCTTATTAAGGAATAATGACAAGGAAAGTGAAAAGATGTTGAGTCAAAGGAAGTACAGAGAAACCTGAAGACAGTAGGGACTGTGGCTTGATTTTAGTTATTTTATGCAGTCTCAGCAATACATTAAGCAGGCACTGATTTTTTTTTCCTTTCACATCATTTCAGAAAAGAGAAATGACAGCAACGGCAGAGTGTATTTTGTCAATCACAACACACGAATCACTCAGTGGGAAGATCCCAGGAGTCAGGGGTAAGAAATCAGTTGCAGTTTCATGTAAATCTGGAATGAAAATGTAACGAAGTAGTGAGACTGAGAGCTAGGAAATGCTCCCACAGCTGAGACGTGGACTACTACTCCTTTTATAAAGACAACACACGTCTAAACATTGGTATCGTTGGAGGAGGGAGGGATTTCTTTCATATAGTGATGGGATAGTGCAGAGGATCCTGAACAAGAATTTGGTTATTTCCTAGACACTCAATAGGTAAGACAGAAGGAAGACAAACTTGAAAAACTGCAGCACCTCTCCTCACACCTTTTAAAAAAAGAGAGAGACAGAGAGAGAACTGGAGGCACTACTGAACATAATGGAGTACTGTTTATTTCCAGCTCTGGTCAGTCTGACTCTGAGGTAGGGAATGTAGGCAGGAAATTGAGGGTGAAGGGTGTTCAATCCCTATTTCTGCTGTTTGCGCTGAAAATTTCCATTTGATGAAGCAACTTGATCTGTCCTCTGTAGAGAAGGAATAAGAGAAGGGGGAGTGCAATAGCCTAGTATGTGTGGAGGGGTAATAGCTGTAGCCAGAGATGACTACTTTTCCATCCCAGTCATGTCTGCAGCAGCTGACAGTGTGGAGAACACTATTATTCTTAATGCAACCCAACAAGCAAATGTGCTGGCTTCATAGTTAGAAATACGGTCCTACAATGTAATTCTACAAGTCGCTCTTCTAAGTCACTCTGAGAGCACTTTGGAGCGATACTACTCAGGTCTTCCAAATGTATTGAGATCTATTTTTGTTCATACCAAAATTGAGTTGGAAGTTGTCAAAAAATTACACAAAATCAGTATTTGTTTTTTTTCTTATATTTTTGTGATTCTGAAACTCTTTAAGTTTTTTACTATTGTGATTATACATGGGGTACCAAAAGCTGCTTATTAAAATTATATCAGTTTTCAAGTAAAAACATAATAGAAGATAAAATTCTGTTGCTTAAGTGGAGGAAACATCGATAAACCTTGTTTACATTTTTCCCTTAAGTTTCTATTTGCCATTATTCCAGGTAGTGCAACCAAATGAGCTAATATTTATTTAAATAGTCATTGTGATCTAACTGAGAGCTGACACAAAAATTTAAGAGGAAGAAAAGGCAGAATAAATATTGAATAGAAGGTTTCTCAATCCATAGTTTTTCTAGATCTGCCAAAATTTTTACTGTCTCAGGTATTGTTCAATTGACTTAATACATTAAGTTGATCAGTTACCATGTATTTTATTGTATCCATAGTCAATTAAATGAGAAACCCTTACCAGAGGGCTGGGAAATGCGATTTACTGTGGATGGTATTCCATATTTTGTGGATCACAATAGAAGAACCACTACATATATAGATCCCCGCACGGGCAAGTCTGCTCTGTAAGTGTTTTTAACATTATACTAAGTTTTCAAAAGTGAAGTTTAGCACACATAATTTTTGAAAGGGTTTTTTTTCCTCTTTGTACCTTCTTATACGGAAAGTTTTACATGTAATAATGCTTCCTAATTTTCTGGGTTTTTTTAATCCACTGATAACTGTCCCTGAAGAAGGCAGAAGAAAGTGTCTAACACTTTAGAATCCTTCTTGCCAAATAGTATATAAGATTTGAGGGTAATGGAGGAGCTTCATCAGTGCTGTTGATGACCAGATCCCTTCTTTCCACATACAAGTCTGTCTTTTTAAAACTGCACTCAATGCTTTCTTTCTTTTATTTTTAGGGACCAGAATGGAGTTAAAACCAGAATTTAACTCCCAACTGAAATTAACTGAATGTCATACCATCCTTATTGTTAGAATCTTTTTTACAGTTAAGAATCAGATACTGGTTAAAAAGTACTGTGTATGCACTCCATGGTTTACAAAGGAAGACTTTTTTTTAGTTTAAAAACTAGAAAATTACGTCCCAAAATCAAAAAATGTGAATAAGAAGCTTCTAACTAGATAGCCAACAAAACCATACAACTATATAACTAATACATTTGTAGGCTTTTACTTAAATTACAAAACCACTTTTGAAATTAATTTGTTTTTCTCCTTTTGGTTCCAGAGCCAATGGACCCCAGATAGCTTATGTGCGTGATTTCAAGGCAAAGGTCCATTATTTCAGATTCTGGTGTCAGGTACGGATTCATTTCTTGGGAATATTTGTTTGCATTTTGGGGTTTTGCCTACATGCTTTAAATGAACTCTTCAATGCTTTGCAAGGAAAGGTAATCAACCTACTTTAAGGTTAAAAGTGAGTTAAATTAGGAGGGAGTAAATACAGGACTTGTATAAACTCATGTAAGCTTTAAAGCTAGGTAAGCTATGGCTTTAAAACTTCTTAGAATAAAGGAAAACATAAATTTAGCTAGGTTTTTTTCCAAAGTGGTGGGTTTCAGAATAGTGTTTTCTTTCTGCTGTTAATAAAGGAATATATGGAGGCACAGTATTTTTATAGTTAATACAAGATCTACTTCCTGCACAAATACAAACTTCTGGAAGAAAATGCAGGGCATTTGACACAGAACATGCATGTCTAAACATTGAAGAATATACTGTGTTGCACGTTAGTGTGCTCTAGCATAATACCAAATTCCAGTGTGTCAGTCTCGGTCCTCTAAACTCTATGTATATCAAAAGATTAGATAACTTGGTGTTTAGGAAAAAGTGTTGGGTTTAAATGTTCCAGTTTTCAAAAGTCGATGAATTATCCTTTGAAAAATAGTAGAGACACTAATTTTTCACTTTGAATTCTGTGCAGGATAACCTAAATTTTCTAATTTTGTATTGAATTCTGGGGTAGAAAGCCTTGCTGACTTAGATTATGTTATTTGAACCTGGTCTAAGCAGGATCTGGAGGCACGTATATCTCCCTGTAGGTATCGATATTGGAAGCAATTTGTTCTTGGAGTAAATTACAATTCAAATTTCTTGATTACTGGGTTTGTTTTTTATGGATTAGTGGAATTCAACTGTACCTCTTAAAAAATATATACAACAATTAACAGTCTGAACTCAGTATCAGAAACTCTAAGTGATTGTGCACTTCACCTCTAAATTTCATTTCAGCAACTGGTAATGCCACAACACATAAAGATTACAGCAAGCAGAAAAACATTATTCGAGGACTCATTTCAACAGGTATTGTATTAAAACATGTTAGTTGTGGGCATGAAAAGTTGAGTTGATTACGTTTATTGTCACATGTCATTCCTGATCCTTTGACATCTTGCTAATGTTATTTTAAGTGAGACTAACCAAAAATACTAGTTTAATAGGATAGAATCATACTTATATATTAAAAGATCATGCTCAAATGTGAAGTTCTGGCTGTAAAGACTGTGTCATCTAACAGAGAAGGTAATTTTTTAATTTTTTTTTTATTTTTCCTCAGAATTCTTTAAAATCTAAGTTAATTTTGAGGGGAGTGCTGTGGCAGAGCAGCTACCCATTCTCAGGAAGTTTTCATACTGTGCTTATGTTTGTTGGCACATTTTTCCTAGCAGTGTGTTATATAAGTATGGGCTATGTACCAAAATAGATTAAGCTGATCTTAGTCTGGGTGTTATGGGTCTTTAAATAGAGTAATGGAATGGTTAAAAGAAAACAAAAATTATTAATTCTATTTAGATTATTAGTAACAAAATTCTTATTAATGTCTATAGATCTAAACCATGGTTAAATTTTGCTCCTGTACAATATTTTCAAGGGCTTTGGACTTTCACTTTTGAATGTTCGTTGTGGCAATAAATCACTCCCATTTCTTGTTAAATTGAAGCGAAAAGCAGCTCTTTGTCAGTTTAATAAGAGCATTGGAAGTGCATGGAACAACTCCTCTTGGCAGATACTCTTCTTAGCCCCCTCTGTATTTTTCTGACTTAAAAGTAACTTAAGAAAATGCAGACCTTGTCCAAGAAGATAGGAACTTTTAGCTTCCTCTGTGCCTAGCTGAATTTTTTTTTCCTATATGTCTTCAGACTTCGTTTCTTGTAGGAATTATCACAGATGTGTCAAGCCAGGAAATTTGAACAAGTAGAATAGTATGTTGAGAAAAATATGTTCTTAAATAAGGATTATTGCTTTCTTGTTCAAAGTATTGTAAAATGGCTTAGCAGAAGCAACAAATAGTGCAGTTGGCTAGTCTTTTCTTTTGGAACAGTGATGTCTTCAAATAAAAGGGATTAGAAGGGGACAAAATAAATCCTGCAACTGAAAGTTAGCTCCAGCCCTATTTCTAAAACTGCACTTGGTCCTTTTACAGTAACCATAGAGGTAATAAAATTATATTGTACTGGAAAGAATCAAGAGAGAGATTATGTAATTATGTTGACATAATTACACAAACCTAGGTTTCCTTAGGGAAGCAGGGTGCCTTATCAATAATTTAGATGACAAATTGCAAAGACCTGAGTTAATTTTTATACTTGTTAGTCATTCATCATTTGCAGATATCTCTGTTGGGGTTATAAAATTTTTTGCGATGATTACTACAGACATATAGGAGAGATTTTAAAATGCAAATCTTGACCCAAATTCTGTGCCTGTCATTGCAAACAAGAACTTAAGGTTCTTGGACACACAAAAGTGTTATGTGAAATTCTTCTGACAATTGACCAAATCAGTGTAATTACAAATTTGGTCATTGTATTAAAACCAGCATTAGTAAAGTTCCTTAGCATCTGTGATTCTTCCTAACTTTTAAAAAACAAACCAGCTAGATTTTTGTTATCCTCTTTAGGAGATGAAGCTGTAAAATTAAAAAAATATATATAATGTATGTTTATTGTTGGTTTGTTTCTAATTTATTTAAGTCCTTGATTCATGACTCTTCATTACTTGTAACTAGGATACCATTCAGTATGGTATTTAACAAATACCAAATTTACTCACTTTGGGCCTGTTATTTACTGGCTAGGTTGCTGGCCTAAGTATCCCTAGTCTTTAATTTCAGAATTATTTCTTTTACATCTTTCACTTTTTAATCTATGGAAATACGTTTACACTAACACTTCAAATTCCATGAACATTCCATAAGAAGGTACTTCACGTATTCATAGTTCATTTTATGGTCTGGATTATTTAAATGCTATATTGCTTGATAGCAAATAGTAGTAAGTCTAGCCAGTGCTTATAGCTGTTTTCTTACAAAGATTTGATTGTTTTTCTTTTACTAAGATAATGAGCTTCAGCCCTCAGGATTTACGGAGACGTTTATGGGTTATTTTCCCTGGTGAAGAAGGCTTAGATTATGGTGGTGTTGCAAGGTAAACTAAACTGAAATGGTAAATAATATCATCTCCAGCAAGTTGTTGGTGTGAAGATTTTCCCAAAGTAGTTATTTAAACTGTAGTGCTTTCAAAATATTAGTGAAGTTTATTCCTTATCTTTCCTCAGAATAGCTGAGGAAGACAGTTGCTTAAGATGTATACGTGTCTTAAAACTGTAAAAAATTATTTTCAGTTCGCATTAGGAATACTTTAATCGTCTCAGTGATTAAAGAGATGCACAGTTTACTGAACTGTAGTAAGCCTTTGGCACAACCATTAATATCAAAGTAGAAGTTTATTGAAAAAGTGAATAGAAATCTACTTTCAAGTCAAAAGTCTTTACTGGCATGTAACTGAGAAATGCATGTATTAATTAGCATTCCCTAAAACTCTATAAAGTTTAAATCAGCATTAGACTTTTAATCTGCTCATTTACATAAGGATGTTTTTTTATCCAAACCACTGACAGTCATATATCATTGTAACTTTTCGTATTAATTGATAATTTGTGTTAGTTTCAATTTGTTTTCAATTTGGTCTAGCATACTTTCTGGTAAAGAAGTCAGATTGACTACTTATGTGCCAACAAGTTCCTAAGTTAACATGAGTTAGCTAAAGTAATTTCTAATTTAATTTATTTTGAAATGTGTTTTTATTGTTTGTGTGATTTCAGGGAATGGTTCTTTCTATTGTCACATGAAGTTTTGAACCCAATGTATTGCCTATTTGAATATGCAGGGAAAGACAACTACTGCTTACAGATAAACCCAGCCTCTTATATTAATCCAGACCATCTGAAATACTTCCGATTTATTGGAAGATTCATTGCCATGGTAAGTTCAAAAGTAGACAGCGGTTCTCTCATGCAATTTTCCTATCAATAAATATTGTACCATCAGATGGATAATTAAACAATTATTTTTTGAGCTGAAACTATTATGAGGTGTTTGGATATAACTACTGTTGGTATAAGTTAATTCAGCATATTAGCAGTCATGATATTCTGTGTTGTTTTAATTCTTTGGCTGTGAAATTTCATCGGTACAGAGTACAGAATGTTGTCATATTAAGTATGCAATCGTCCTTTACATTATTTTGTCTGTTTTCATGTTCTTCAGGCTTTGTTCCATGGGAAATTCATTGACACTGGTTTCTCTCTGCCGTTCTATAAACGTATCCTAAACAAGCCAGTAGGACTCAAGGATTTAGAATCTGTTGACCCAGAGTTTTACAACTCTCTCATCTGGGTAAAGTGAGTTTGACTTGATTTTGTTCTTGAAATAGCCATACAATGTTTTGATTTTCACTTCTGCCAGGAAGTAGGTGTGGATTTATTACTAAAAATCCCACTGGAAAGTATAATGCATCAATTGCAGAGCAGTACTGGAATTTTTACTGTAATTTTAGGTACATATAATAGTTTGATAATGCAAAAGCCTTTCTGGTTTGTTGAATATTCTGCACAGCATCTTGCATTCCGTTTTTGCTATTTTTTAATAAATCTAGCTAGACATTATACAGATGTGGCAGTCTTGAACACTGTTACAAATAAAATGGCTCGAGTAAATTGCACTGAAACTTTTCAGATAACTGATTAAAAGAAATCAGAAAAAAGCCACTCAATGTTTCTCTAGTACCTGGTTTAGTTAGAAAACTTGAAAAAAATTTAGTGCTACAATAATGTGACGTTAACAAATGTAGTTTAATATTTACTACTGCATAATTCTTCTGTTAGTCATACCTGAAATTTGACTTCAACGTTAATATTGAAGATGTAATGCTTTAAAGAAGTTAATGCTCATGCATTTTTCTAGCTGCTCTTAGTTTTTTTTGCTCCAAGCTGAATGATTCAAGACCATTCCTACATATAGCCTTCCATGTATGCATTGTCAGTCATCTGTCTATTCTACATTCATACTCCTTTTGAGTCCTCCTCCTCTGCTCCTTTGCAGATTCCTCTCCAGAGAGCAGCAAGTAAAAAGGATCTGGAGTTTGTAGACCATAATTATTTTGGAATTATGTGTTAAAAATATTTTAAGAAATAATTAAAAAACCCCCTTAGATCTAAAGCATTGTAATTTTGTACATATTTTATAATATCAGGACTCCGGGATGTTGTAGTCCATGATTGATGTGCACCATGTGTTTCATTAACACAGGCAATTTTCTTTTCACAACAGTTTAAAGAAGGGAAAGACAGACAAATTCAATTAAAATTTTTTTGCTTCTGCTATAGTAAAAACAATTTAGCAGAAAAATTAGTCTTTTTTATGTGACTACAGAGATAAAACATTTTGCTTAAGAATCATACAAAGCCAGAATAGTTTTAAAAATGCTTTGAGAAATTTATAAAAGGTGTGGGGATTGGTTTTTAAAATGCAGCAATAAATGTTACAGACAAGATTGTAATCTGCCGTAGTGGTGAATCTTGGAAACATTACCATCAATAATGAGGAGGGGGGAAAGCACCTTTATGAGATGTTTACAAATTGAGATAAGAATTTTGATATTGTTTTCAAAGAGTAGTGCGTTCCATACTCAATGTATGCGCTGCTAAAAGGTGTAGTGAGTTAAAATTCCATTAGGAAAACTTAAAATAGTTGCTGTTTGAGTAAAGATGCTGTGAAACTGAGACCTGAAAGGGAAAAAAAGTCTCGAAGCTTTAAGTCCTGATTTCTGTAATTAAGGAATCCTGTTACCTGTTTTGTAGTCAGAAAAGTTACATATATTTTTTCAAAGAAAGAGACATCTTGTGACTTACTGAGTTTTAGAGACCAAGCAAATATGATACTGAAAAATGCAAGCTATAGGGAAGAAATTTGCATTAAATCGTGGGGGAAGCTATTACTGGTGAATGATCTTCTGACTAAATTCTAACAAGTCGCACATATAACAATGTTTACCTTATGAACAGTATTAACCCATTAATATTTTGTGGAAAGTCTAGACTAAATGGCTGTTGTTTTAAGCCATTATTCTGTAGACATAGTTGCATCTCTGCATTTGTGTGTGTAGTGCAGATAAGCTGGCCGCTTTTCACATTTCAAGGATGGGGTTTCTTTATAACACCCAATAATTGCAGGTCTTTCAGAGCTGCTCGAGTGTGTTACATTTATTCTGTGAATGGTTCTTTTGGTGCATATGTAATTTATAATGGTCTAAAAGAGCACAGAGGCTTCTGGATGTCAATATCAGGCTGCTTGTCTACAGCAATAAATGGGGACTTGTCATAGACATCACAGACTACTTTTCCCCATCATTTTAATTCAAAGTATCCAGTGTTGCAAGATACCACCCAGTGGATTGTTGTTGTGAAACTTCCAAGACTGAATTCTTGGGTACCAGCAGTCCCTAATGAAAGATTTTGTCAAAAGACAGGAGAAGCCTGCATCTGTAGTGAGGAAGTAGGAAACTCAGAACTTACTGTCAAGACCAACTCTTACATCTCACTGTATATGAGGGTTTCAAACGACTAAACTGTGCAGGGTACATATGCTTTTATTAATCTGCACTCAGTGTTTGGGGTTTTTTTGTTTGTTTGGAGGTTTTTTTTGTTACCACAGAAGAAAGTGATAGGGAAGCTTAAAGCTGTAACAAGAACTTTTCTGAAGCCTGTCTCTAGAGCAAGTATGACCCAAATAGCAGCAGCAATTTCTGTAGTGATAAAGAAATCTTCTAGGTTGAAGTCCACGAAAGGCTTTGCCCCTTTAAAAAAAACACTTAAGGATATGAAAATTCTAGAGAAAAACCTTCAGACGTCTGAGGGGTGCACATTGACTTCTTAAGTACAGAGACCCAAAATTCATGTTTAGTGTAGTTGAGCCTCCTTATCTGTAATGCTGATGAATCATAGAATGATAGAACAGTTTGGATCAGAAGGAACCTCACAGCCCATCCAGTCCCACCCCTGCCATGGGCAGGGACACCCGCCACTAGCCCAAGTTGCCCAAAGCCCCATCCAACCTGGCCTTCAACACTTCCAGGGATGGGATGAAGTTATCCTCTAAGGAAATGACTGCAAATTTGTAGGTGAAATAAGTCATGTCTGTCGGGGTGGACATAATTTTGTTCCTCACCAAACAAGTAAATGTTATAACTTTCCAGGCAGCTTTCAGTAGTTTTGAATTTCTTGGTGCTTCTTCTGTTGGGTGGCCATTTTCCTTGTTCCCTCAATTGTGAAAATTTCACAGAATCATTTAGTTTTGAAAAGGACCTCTAGAGATCATGTAGTCAAACCTCTTGGCTCAAACTGAGCTAGAGCAGGTATCTTTTGTTTTAAAAGGAAGAGGTGATTTTATTTCATCATCCATCCATCTGAAACCCTCCCTTGTCATCTGAGATTTCATGCAATAGCATGTGTTTTGAAAAGATCAAGGTCAGAAGCACTATTGTGTCACAGTGCTAGATAAACCACCGTGATATTTTCAAGACTGACATATCTGTGTTACAGTTCAGGACAAATATCTTGATTTTACACTTTATTTGGGGGGGGGAAATGGTCATCAAAACCTCTACATATGCAAGTGATTCTTCACTTTACAGAAGTGCACATCAGCATATAAATTACCATGTTGTTCTCCTGGCTATTAACACTTATAAAGAGAATAGAGTTTATTTGAGCAATGTTTGTTGGCTACAGATTCTTCCCATGCTGAAATTTCTAAAAGAATTCCTCTTTAGCGGGAGTATTTGTACTTTGTTAACTTAGGGGCTTGTTTTAGTATATACTTACAAGATAGTCCCATAAATACACTGGAGTTGAAGATAATTCATTAAGCATGCAAAGTCTTTCTTAGTTGCTTCTTATTATCTGACAAAGTGACAGCGACAGTTTAATGCAGTCCTTACATTACCTGTTAGAAGAAGCAATCATGCAATGAAATACAAAAATGTCATTACTTGAGAAGTTTCTGTATTCCATAGACATTCTGCAGATCATAGTCAGCAGGTAGTTTGTCAGCCTTGCGATTGGTAAATTTAAGGGTACTAGTGATTAAAAACTTCTGATCAGCAGTAGAATTCATGTATGCACATTGGTAAAATGAGTCAGTACTTCTTGGAAAACCATAATTATTGTGTAAGGAACATTTCTGTATCTTGATTATTTAGTTCCAACCCCTTTTTTCTTAAGGTTCTTCATACCCATCTCCTCTACTGAGTAAAAGGTCTTTATACAGTTACTTAAAATGATATTTTTTTCCTTACAGAGAGAATAATATTGAAGAATGTGGCCTGGAAATGTTTTTCTCAGTTGACAAAGAAATTCTAGGTGAAATCAAAAGTCATGATTTGAAGCCAAATGGTAGCAACATTCTGGTCACAGAAGAAAACAAAGAAGAATACATTAGGTAAGAATACATGAAGATTTTAAAATACTCTTATCTCTGTCATTTTCTTTCTTTAGTTCTAGCAAGAAAAGATTGTCAAACAATGTTATCTGAAGCACTGTTGAAGTTCTGTCTCTGAGTAATTGCTGATGCTGGCAACAAGTGGCAATTGTTTGGATATCATATTTGAAAGAAGAATATTGATAGAAATAGATTTTTACAATCCACTTTTCCCAAAGATTACAGTTTGTAGAAGGTCCACTTTTTTTCCTAGAGATATTTTAGTTTAGCAGAACAACATGACAACAAATGTGAATGGCAGGTATTGCATGAAATTGTTGCATGTGTTTATTATTAGAATCATACTGCTTCATAGCCTGCTGATATTCCACCCAGCCATTTATGTATGGGGTTTTTTTAAACTTAAGAACGTTTTTGGATGCTTTTGTGATGTTTGTTATTTTTTAAAGATACTTGGAATCACTACTAGTTTTATCTGAACTGGTCTTATAGTATATTTAGGCCTTGGCATTTGTAACAGGACAGTGTTATGAATGATGTCTTAAGTTGTATTGTCATGCATGAAGGATTTTGTTTGCAGTACCAGAATGTTTTAAAGCTATAGGTTAAGAGGGACA